CAATTTGTCTGATCGGTGGCGCGTGAGATGCACACATCACCCGGCAAGCGGGACGGCAGGCGAGGAGCAGCGCGAGGGAGCGGGACTGACGCCGTAAGGACGACACAGGAATACAGGGACACAGGAATACAAGGACATAGGGACACAGCACGCATATACTAAACTAAATGTACGACGACGTATCCTCGATAGAAGGACCGTGACTTGTGCTAGAGGGCTGTTATTTATGAAAATGAAAATTATTATTATATTATGCGGATTTTATTATACAATGGCAGAAAGGACCCTTTGCCAACGACTTATTTAGCATGTAGCTTTTATTTGCCAAGGACAAAAATCTAAAGTCATCTTCAGTACAATTTCAAGATATTTTCTCATATTATTCCAACTGATTAGTAATGATTTGTATAAAGAAATTTGATTTTAGTTAATTAATTAATAATAAAACTAGTGGTGTATGGCATCGTGCCTTAAGGCAAATTGCCGGAACTTCCCGTACAGTAATGAAATATTTGAAGAATATTAAATGTTATAAATATATTATTATAAGTGATATCTGTACACAAGTGAGCTTTATTAACTTCCCGAAGGAGAAGTTTATGTTTTCATCAAAAAATCCGATTTGCTAATTTTGTTTTCTCAACGTTTCAAGCCATTCTGAATCGAATGAGACCAAATTTGGAAAAAGTATGTGTATGTGTGTGTGTGTGTGCGTGCGTGTTGTAAACAGATTTTTGCCGATTTTCAAAAACTTAAAAGCCATTCGATGTATTTCGATGAGGACCAGCGTTTCTGAGTTTTGTGCGACGATCGGCCAAGCCGTTTCTTTGTAAATCGCAGAAAAGTGAAAAAAATTTCGTCCACGTTTTAGCCCGCAATTCTGAATCGATTTTGAAAATTCAAAAACCGTTCGATAGATATTGGTTGGGAATCGTGCTGATTAGTTTTGGTAAAGATCGGCCGGTCCGTTTTCTTGTAATAAAGTTTTAAAAAAAATCGACGATTATTATTATTTTTTTTTTTTTGACGGTAGATTCCATAGTCTTCTAGATCATTCTGCTATCATAACATTTATTAAATTTGTAGGTGACTGATGGAACGAGTTTTTCTTTCAGAATAATTCTATAGTTACATAGAACTTCATAACATTGAAAATCGTAGCTCTTATAAATCATTCATTAAATGAACGTTATTGTCATTTTTGTTATTCACACACATCTAACTTATTCAGCACTGATTTATGTATTAGTGAATTTTATAATTAACTTCCCGTAGGGCAAATTAAAGTAATCGCAAAAAATCGAAAATGAAAATTTTTGCATTTCTCGACGTTTCAAAGGTTTCTGAATATTTTGGCATACCTTAGAAAAAATGGATGTATGTGTGTGTGTGTGTGTGTGTGCGTGTATGTATGTGTGTGCGGATACAAATTTTCGTCGACGATTTAGGGAACACCAATCAACCGATTTGAATAATTCAAAAAACATTCGATTCGTATTGATAAGGAGACGTGCTGATTAGTTTTTGGCGAAGTCAGGTCTAGCCGTTCCGAAGATACGGGGCAAAAAGTGCCGAAAACGGTAACTCAGTTTTTAAGAGAACGGAGCGTCCGATTTTAATAATTCAAAAAATATTTTACTTGTATTGACAAGGTGAAAAACCGATCAAATTTTCATAAAGGCAGGTCTAGCGGTTTCGGAGATCTAATGAAAAAAGTAAAAAAAATGCCATTTGGCGGTCATAAATGATCATTAGACATATGCACATCAAATTATCAGATATTTTATAGAGATTTTAACAATAAGTATAATTTTGGTTTACATTCCTATGGGTTCCGTACCAATGTTTACGCGCTAGACGTCGACGCGGCGCTTACGCGGTTTGATATTTCGTCTTTATGCAGTTAAAGCAGTACGATTGCTTTGAAAAAAAGTTTAGATCTGTCAAAATATGTCAAAATAAAGAAAACATTTTTTTTCGAAAAAAAAATTAAAAAAGATTTTTTTTTTTCAAAAAAAGTAATTTTTTGCCTAATTGTTTGTCAAAAATCTTATTTTTTCGAAGTAATTTTTTTTTCAAAAATGTTAATCGTTTTTAAAAAAATAATAATTTTTAGTACGGGAAGTTCCAGCAATTTGCCTTAAGGCACGATGCCTTAATTACCTTAAGACAGAATTCCACTTACAGCTAGTTTGTTTTTTATTTAGAATATATTAAAAAAATATTTCAGTGTCTGAAAATTTGCTTTCAAAATAGTTTTTTCAAGAAAACTTTTGTGACATTTTCAACTCCGACCGCTTGAAATATTCTATTCAATTGAATTATTTCAAATCATAAATATATCATAACAATATTAAGATGGAAAATTTGCGAGAAATGGTAATTGGATCATGAGCATCATGTTTAATTTAAACATACTACTGTTAAACTGATGCTCATAGTCTAATTACCGCAAATCTAATTAACGCAAATTTTCCATCTTATTATTATTATATATTAAACGGTTTAATATAAAGTTATGTTCAGAGCGCAAAATGACCTTGAGCAAAAATTTATCTAATTTGAATTTGTGAATTGAATATTTCATTTGCTAATAAATTAAATTTGCTAAAGAACTAAGAGGTGTCCTGATAAAATTCTCTGATCCATGATGAAATCCAGCAATTCGATTCGTTGTTGAATATGTCCAAATTCTAGATTTAACATAGGAAGTTAAACCTAACAATAACTAGCTCGAATCTTAAAGATTTTTAGGGTATGGGTGGTATTTCGATCAATATATTACGCGACATCATGAAATTTTGCGAAGTCTATTAAACATAGATATTTTGTGTAATCACATTAAAGTGCAATTTATCGTAATGAAATAGAATATTATTGGGGGACAGCAATTTGATTTTGTTCATTGCATTACAAGCCGAGGAAACGTATCAGTCTTAATATAATTCACCAAATAATATAACAAGAAAGCTTTTCAACAGACATATATCCAAATAATAAAACGGAAACTAAATTATATTTCTAAAAAGTTTAGAGATCCATCGGTAGGGATCACAGTTCAGAATGTTCGTCGGTTATAGGTTAATTTCATTTTAATTTTTCAAATTTAAAAAAAAAATCTTTTTACAAATATGACCGTTAATCAAGTATTTAGTTTATTGAATGTAGTTTTTGTGTCTTTTAAGGGGTTAGCAGTACTTGGAGGCCCGAAAAAATGAAATTTTCAGTATTTTTTTTTGTTATTAAACGATGTTTTTTTACAAAAATATTAATACGGCATTTTTATACAATGTTTTGACTTGAAGTAACAAAAATTTTAGAAAAAAAAAATTCCAAAGTTATAGCTGTTTTTGTTGACCCTGTTTCAAAAAACGGTACTGGCGGTGACCGTCATAACTCCTTAGAGATTCATCTAAAATCAATCAAATAAAAAGAATAATTTTATAAATAGATAATATTGAGCCTGATCAAAGGTTTTCTGTTTAAAAATGGCAGCATCAGAAAAAAAATCTAGATTTTTGGGTAAAAAATCAAGAGTTAATTGGTCTTAAAAAATTGAAATTTTTGAAAAAATAAAAATCCTTAGATCATTTCCAAGTTTATTATTTATTCTAAAAGCCGTATAAATTTCATCAAAATTTACTAAGCGGTTTTTGAGTTACAGTGGTCACGCGTTCAAAAAACATACTTTTGAGAAAAACGCGTTTAAAGTTTCACATTGGATTTACATACAGAAATTCGAATTATTGAATTACTTAAACCGAGTCATCTATTTCTGGGCCATTTCCAAAATTTCCATTTGCTGTTGCCTACGAAGCATTCTGGCCTCCCTAGTGTTCTCGTTGGCGCGCTGATCTGCCACTTTCACACGTGCAGCATCCAATTTTTCAGCATACTAATGGGAATTATACCCACAATTAGGTCCTAGAGTGTTCATAATCAATAATAATGATTATGTATATGTATTCAGCAATTTGTACGATAGTAGAACTAGTATTCACGGTTTTTAGGCATATTTGTTACACTAGTTGGTTGAAGCTTTTAATTTTTTCTGATTATGGATTCAATCTTGAACTACACATCTTGAAAGTGAATTATCATTGCTGAGATAGTCGTAAATCGGTTTAAAATCTTTTAAAACATCAGGAGGTGAGAGAGAATAATCTTGAGTATAAGTATCGAGCTCTCCACTTGCGTCAGCGCACGTCCACTTGGTAAGTCAGTCCAATAACTCAAAAAGTAATCATCGGATCAACTTGAAATTTTCAGAGAACATTTTCAAGATATTACACTTAATGAAAATGCAAAAAAAATAAAAATAGATTTTTCAAAAATTCCAAGTACCTCTAACCCCTTAACAAAAATTAGTTTTGTCCACTGAAGAAAAATCATTCAATTTGCCCTTTTTCTCCGTTTCTCCGAACAAGTAGAATGTTTTCGAATAATTAATAAACAGCGATTTATCTATCAAAAACATTTTATTGAATTTGAAAGTAATGTCAAAGTGACCAAAACCTTGAAAATAACAAAAATAATTCATTGTAATTTTTCTGCAATTTTAATAAATTACCCCACGGAAAATCTAAACCAATTTAATGCAATAAAATTTAAACAACATGCGTTTATAAATATATTTTTTTATTAAATTTATTGTTAGTACAATAATTATAGTTGCAATGATTGAAATTTTAATATGACTTTTCTCAATCAAAACTAATGGCTGATAAAAATATTGTATTATCAAATATAATACTTTTTTTAATTCAGAGTTTTAAATATAAATTTATTTTATTATTTACAATATATCCAAGCATAATTATATATCTAGGTTAAAAAACAATATACACAAAAAATATATAATAACATTATTCATTTTATAACCTCTAATGAATAAAATAAACCTAACAATAAAAAATACATAACGACTATTAATTCCGTAAACAAATTTGTACAAATTACAATACATATACAAAAAATAAAACATTACAATTACTCTCACAAAATATCCAGAATATAACATGTTACAACACCGAAACAATGTTAGTTTGAAATTCATTGTATTAGTGATCTAAGGATTATATCGTTTTAATTATGCGAGCGCCGATGCTGGTAATGAGCTGTGTTTAGGTTTCGTTTTGTTAATAAAAACTTTGATGCAACCGTTAAAATCGGCACTTACTAACACGTGTCCACCGCAGCCGCGTGTTCGCTGCTCCACCATCGGGTCCTCCACCTGAGGATAAATGAATTAATAGTTTAATGCAATTTCAAGATTTATCCATACGATAAAATCACATCATTATATATATATTTATATATATATATATATATATATATATTTCTTTGCTCTCAAGGGTTCAAATGCTTCCAAATTAATAAAAAATAAATCTCTAATAGTTTTAGCTCTTAATATTAACATTTAGATAGATCGAGCACCAGAATTGTTTGACAAAACTTGCCTATCTCATTTTCGCAATACTATAATAAGAAGTTGAAACATATTTTTTTCTTCTTAAGGGGTCCCCCAAACAAATTTTGATACGGGCCCCGCCAAGGCACGCTACGCCCTTGATAATTAAACTAATTTCGTGAGTTATTTATTAAAAACATACATATATTTTCCTATTTGAGTTAAAACGTCGAGAAGACAATACTGCTAAGGCTGAATTTGAATTTTTTAAAAAGATTTAAAATATTTTTAGAACTATCAAAACATAGATCTTTGAGAATTTTGAAATTACTGAAAAAAAGACTTGCTATATTTGATTTTTTTTCTTTTGAAATATTTCGGAAATTTTGAACGTTTTCAAAGCAATTGCGTTAGCTGCGTAGTGACGAAATATTGAAGCGCGTAAGCGCCGCGTTGCAATCTACCGTATAAACATTGGTACGGAACCCATTGAAATGTAAATAAAATTTATTCTTATTAAAATTTCTGGTAATTTGATGTGCTTATATCTAATGATAATTTTTGACCGCCAAATGGCATTTTTTTGCTTTTATTATTAGATATCAGAAACAGCTAAACCTGCCTTCTCAAAAAATTTATCAGTTCTTTTTTATCGGTTTTTGTTACATACAAGTAAAATGTTTTTTGAACCATTCAAATCGGATGCTCCGTTATCTCAATACTGAATTACCATTTTTGTAGTTATAACCAAAACCAATCAGCTCGTCTCCCTGTCGATACGAATAGAATGTTTTTTGTATTATTCAAATCCGTTGATCCGTGTTCACGAAATCGTCCGCAAAAATTTGTATCTGAACACACACACACACACATCCATTTTTTCGAAGATATGCAAAATTGTTCAGAAATCTTTGAAACATATAAATATACAAAAATTTTCATTTTAGATTTTTTGTGATTACTTAAGTCCAGTGCATACAAAGCCACTTTTCTTGGCACATATATTATGTCGTGTGCACCGGACTTTAGTCAATAAAATCATTAATAGAATACCTTGTTAGATGTTTCTGATAAATATGTCTGAGACCCGTTGTTAGCTGACGCTCCTTCGCGTTCCTCCACTAATTTAATAATAGAATCAGGATGAGGTGCAAATACAGCACAAGTTACAACGGCATTATGGGCTTTTATTCCTTCCCAGAAATCATTTCTATCTCTTCTTACCTGGAAATATATTGATTATTTCAATATAAATCACACAATTTTAGCACAATGTTACACCTGAAAAACTTTATCGTTTTCATATTTAAACAAAACGAAAAAAAAAATCGTTAGTAGATCAATAGTTATACATACTTTTGAAACAAAGTGTGTGAATGGTTTAACAAAGAACAGTTGAAACATGGTTATAAATAATACACAGTGCTTGTTTGTGAATTTGACAAGTCCTTACCGAACTAAATTTGGAGTAGTCATGGTGGGTCTTCCAAATATAAATGCACTGATTTTCTGAGCCACTTACGATATATTTACCATCGTGACTAAATGATGCTTTTATTTGACTGGATACATTCATATACCCTTTATATTTGCATGAGAGATTTAATTCATGCAAATCATACAATCGAATCCTACTGTCATTTGATGTTACCAAAATTTTATGCATGTTATCTTCACCTGAATGAAATAATAATTTACGTTAATTATTTGTTACATTTAAACACTATTTAATTAAACACAGCAACAAAACAACATAATATAGTATTAATAATTTATTTCAATTTTTGTTCAAGTTTTTCATTTCTTACCTGGCATTGGTTCAATGCCACTAATTTTCCTTCCAGTTGCATTTTTGCCTCTCGTTGATCGTACATGGATTTGAGTGTGATATTTCAACTGATCAGTCGTGTAGAATATGCAACGTCCATCATAGGAACCTACTACTGCAAATTGACCATTTTGACAAAAATTAGCTGCTGTAATTAATTTAGTTTGACCATCAACTTCATTCCAAACTGCTACTTTCTTATCAGGTATATTCCATAGCCTAAGTTTGCCATCAAGGCTTCCACTCAAGAAATATCTGAAAATATAATGAAGTTAATTGTTGCAATTGTATAAATACATAGAATCATTAGAGAACAAGTAAAAAATATTCTCTCTGAAATTGTTGTTCCATGAAACAATATTAACAGTTCAAAATGTATTACTATCTAAAAAAAAATAATTCAAATTATTATAATATTATAATATTGAAAATCTTACCTATCATCCCTGGGATGAAATACAATAGCCGTTACAAAATCAATATGTTGAAAACAGCATAAACACTCTTTTCTAGATATATGCCATAATCGAACAGTTTTATCCATTGAACTAGATAGTACAAAATAGTTCTTTGACCATGATACATCTAATAAATCGGAAGTATGCCCTGAATATGAACAAAAAGGCCTTGGCATAAATGGTCCAGTACCATCCAAATTTCCGAGTTCTTCTGCTGAATGTTGGGATACTAAAGACTCTTGAGATGGGGTAGGTGATACTTTCTGATCTGCATTATATTTAGTTCGCATATCCTGTTAAAACAATAAAGAAAATTTAATATTAGAACAGTACACAGACATTTATTAGAACTTAAAATAAATTTTTGTAACTGAACCGGCAAAATATCAATCAATACAGCAATACCTTCTTATAGCATAATATTCATGACTTTATAGCTAATATTTATTATTAGCTTCCCGTTGTGCAAGTTAGAGGTAAAATATGGACAAAATGGATTATATGGAGAAAATGAAACAGCGCCCTTGTTTAAAAATTCGCTAGTTTTATTAACGTTTCTGCGATAGTATAAAATAAAAAAACGCATAATAACCATCATGTCAGATGATGAGCGTCATTGTCGCAGTACGCACCATGAAAGTTTATTTTGAGAGTTTTTTCCTCACAATGGTAATAATATAGTACTATTTTGCAAGCATTACAGTAAAAAGAAAAAATATTAAAACCTTTCAAAGATGATTGGCTTTGAAATTTGCTGTTGATAACATTTTTTCTTCGCTGACTCCAAGAATGCAAGAAATAATTGCTAAAAACAGGCCAAAAATCCATTGCTTACGATGTATTACTTGTACTTTGTACTCTTTGGGTTCATGCTTCATGTGCTGATGTCCCAAAGAGGACAAAACGATTTATTTTTTCTAAAAATTAGCATCTCAGTATGTCACCTTATCCTATATCATTTTTGTAACAGGTTGCTTTTCTTCTTATAAATATGTTATTATAGTTCCTACTTAATTAAAAGACTATCTCACTGGTAGTCAATGAACCGTAGATGAGTAGAAACTATTAAGACTGGTGATGATATAAAGAAATAAATAAATTTAATTAAAAAACAAATAACTATTTTGTCCCTACTTCCCCTAGTAATCGCAAAAAATCTAATGACCTCTAAATATTTTGGCATATCTTAGAAAAAATTAATGTATGTGTGTGTGAATGGATACAATTTTTCATTCGACGATTTCGAGAACACGGATCAACCGAGTTGAATGATTCAAAACGCATTTTACTTGTATCGACAGAATAAAGAATTGGTTAAATTTTTGGGAAGACAGGTCCAGCAGATGATTAAAACAAATTTAAAAACATCATTTTTTTCAAAATTATAAAGCATAACAGCATTATTTGCGTTAAGGCACGATGCCATGCACCACTAGGTTTACTATAAAACTAGCTTTTTTTTCAGGCTGTCTTATATGCAAAGTTGTAGCTAAAAAACTCAATAGACAGTGAGGCATTCTCATTATTTATTAGTTTTTTTTTTTTAGAAGCATTCCATTATTTTATTTCAAATTTGATGCACAATTTAATTTCAATAAAATCATACTAACTTGGAAAAATGTGTATGCATCTCTTAGTACCCAAACTCTTAATAATCTATCCTGACCTGCAGTTGCTAGTAATCTTCCGCATGTACTGAATTTCATGCACCACACAGGACCCACATGCTGTCCAGACAATTCCTGTAATAATATAAAAAAGTAATGACAAGCGTATAGCTAATGCGAAAAAGGTCGTCGAAAAAGATCGTTTATGATTCTTAAAATATGATAGAATATCATAAAAAATAGAATAAACATGATTTACTTGAACACGTTGAATGCTATCAAATTCATATGGTCCTTTGTGAGAGGCTGAATTTTTGAACTTTAGACTAGGTTCTCCCGGACTTGACAATTCATCAACGTCTGTAACATCATCTCTGTGTCTAGAATGTGCTATTGATTTCGCTTTATCCATTGTTTTCTTTACAGTTGACCCAAGGAATCGTTTGAGTCTGAAAATGTTATCAGTAGTATCCAATTTCTTTCATTCCTACTACATGAATAAACCTTTTTTTTTTAAGACTACTTATAATAACTAAAGGAAAGTGCCTTTATCAATAACAAGTAGCAGATAACCACATTGGTTACAATGTACAGTGATACCCCGACATACGAGTTTCATTCATTCCGTTACCACGCTCATATGCCAAATGGTTTGTGTTTCGAAGCAATTTTTATAAATACGTTAAAATGCCATTAATTCGTTCCAGCATTGTAGTTTTTGTTAAGTTTTTTGAATATTGAAAAGAAATTATTATTAAATTTAATAATTTAATTATTGTTTTTGCCTGTCCATAAATTATACTGCCGAAATGAGTAAGACACGTTGGAACTTTTTCGGGGAGATTTTTATCCACAAGCTCTAGAACCTTACGAAATTACTGTGGCCTAAGCTCAAGTTATACCCTTCATCAACATCTTCTGTTTAATCTTAGTACATATCTATGATGTGTTACGCTCATTTTCATGTTTCAATATTTCAAGAGACATGATATCTACTTTGGATAATAAAAGTAAATAATATTTTTTATATACAACTGTAAAATCACTATTAATGTATAGTCAAAATTTCAAATGTTAAAATAATTCTCAATATACTGTGTGATAGGTGGGTAAATTGTTACTACACAATTAGTAATAATATATAATTGGCATGATTAAATATAAAATAAATTACTATCATAAAACTGCCAAGATATTTCAAAGTTAGGAATATCATTGTTACAACTGACAAAATTTTTCAAATTTTCATTTTGTCATTAACATTTTTTTAAAAAACTCCTACTCGGTCAGAGCTGGTATCTCAATTTTCGCTTGTATGTCAAAGCAATAAATCGCTTCATTGGCGGCTCGTATCTTGAAACACTCGTATGTCGGGTCACTCGTAAGTCGGGATGGTACCTGACTGTATAATTAAATATCTGGTTTAAATAAATTTTTTTTTTCAGTAACTGAATACCTAGCTGTTCCTCTGCGCAACTTGCTTGCTTCTTCACTTTCAGTTTCACCTTCTCCTAATCCCATACCTTGTGTAGGTCCGGTCATGCTTTCCTCATCACTCTCTCCTTGTTTATTAAGACTATTTGTACTAACATACTCACTTGTCAACCTCATAATATGCAAAGATAAAGGATTTATACATTGTGGTAATTTGTCTTCGGCTACACTCAGTGGCACGCGCTCACCAGTGTCTAAATTTAATACGGTAACTTGTTCCAGAATTTCCATATCTGTCAATTCCTTTCCAGAATCTGTTCTTGTGCGAACATACATGTTTAATTGCTTAAGTAGGTCTTCATCTCCTGCGGATTTTCGTCTTTCTTTTGAATTTTGTGGACTATAATATTTTAAACTCGGGCCCAAACTTGAATGGCCGCTTTGACCACTCAAATTTGGAGCCCGAACACAATGTAATACTTCATGTTTGAGGCGCTCAATTCGTTCTAGTTCTTCTGGTGATGGTCCTTCAGCACGAGACTTGTCTTCATCTTGTGGTTTCACAACATATTTACCTACAATAGAATAAATTTATTAGAGAATATTTAGAAAGACTTCATAAAAATGATTTGTTATAAATTCCATTAAAGAAAATTTGTGTGTAGTTTTATCAGTTGCTTAGGATTTTCCATCCCCGTAAACTATGCAATCTTTTATTAAATATATATCAATTACTCAAAAATTCTTAGTCATCTATCATTATAATAGCTGGATTAACAACAAGCTAACTAGTGTCTAAAATATCGTTATGTTCCTTGCTCCACATGTTAAACATTGCGCTATCTAGCTATGCAGCAATATGCAAAAATTCTATATGAAATCATGTACCTAACTTAAACATCATTTTCTGCATGAATATCTATAGATCTACAGATATCAACTTATATAACAATGCATTCACATGAATTAGGAAAACAGTTACAATATAGTATATAGTATATATATACACACACACACACACCACACACACACACACACACACACACATATATATATATATATATATATATATATATATATATATAATATGTCGTAAATAATTTTACCTTTTGTTGCCATCCACAAGTCAAGTGACCTCATAGTGGTGTTAGATCTTGACAACCCACTACCATTTCTAAATTTATCAAAAATAATTGCATTATTATGATTGTTCGTATGACTAACACCGTTGGATCCATTAACATTGTTTTTACTATTAGATAAGAAGGAATTTATACTTTGATGACTAGATTTATCATTAACTTGATGGTTCGATATCTTTTTATTGGAATTGGTGACATCAAGTGAGTGCTCTAACTCTCTGGTAAGGGATTCGATGGTACTGGCTGGACTTGGTAATGGGCTACCACTTTGTGGATTGAAATCATTCAATGACGAAGCCTGCAATTAAATGCAACGAATTTCATTCAAATTAATATATTTCGATATTTTCAAAAATTGGCTATTCAAAAATTCGTGTACAACTACAAGAGAAGTTAGTTTTCATAATTTAGATTATTTTCAGAGATACATCTGTTTAACCACAATTATCCTACTATTTCCTTCCTCTATTAAACTTTAAAGACGTTTTTCTCGAAATTGTCTTTTTTGATACGATACCCAAGATTTCAACTTCTAATCAACCGATTTACTTAAAACTTTTCAATATCTTCTTAATAGACTTCTCTTCAGTATGGACTACGCCCATCTCCAAATTCACATTTTAACTATTTTTTTAAAAATTCGAAAATATAAAAAAAAAATCAGACAGTTGCTATTTTGTGAAAAAAAAATTCAAGTTGTCCATAGTACATACGATAGCGACATTATTATGGAACAATATTATATATACATACTTTTCCTCAGATTATTTTGAGAGCTAAAATCATTAGTATAGACAGGTGCCAATTTTTCGAGAACTCCACTTTATTACCTTTTAGAATTCAAACTTTGACTATTTTTATTTTCTTTATATATTCTCAAAATATTAATGAATTACATACATGAAAAAATATAGTGAAAAAATCCAAAATTGCATAAAGTTCATGTCTCTAAACACCTAGAATATCCCTTAATTATTTCTTATTATGGATTCAACTTTAGACTAATGTGGTGAAACAAAACAAAAAACGAGTTAACATATTCTAATTTATCTTAGAAAACAAGAATTTTATTCAAATCCATATCTAATATTTTCAAACTTACTTCAACATTAAGACTGTTGTTTACCATCCTTCTTAACCCGGTCATTATACATGCGATCTTCATTACAGAGATGCCGTCCGATGTTTCTTCTTTTTCCTCGGCGGCGCAACTGGTCCAGGTGAAGCATCGTCTTTGCTTTATTCTTATTGGTTACTCTTTGTACTGCAATTACATCTGGTTCTTGCAGTTGTCTCGACTCTATATTACCATTACCATCACCATCATACCGCGAATGGTCTGTATCAGGAACATTTTGCGTACACATTTGCGTTATTTCTGGCCCTGAAGAATTATTAGTCTGTTTCCGATCCGGTAGAAGTCAATATTTCATTTCTGGATTGAGCATTTTTCACGCCGTTAGTGGCGCATTCTATATTTTTTTACTTGAGTGAATGGATTCAGAATCTTTTGAGTCTTTCGAACATAAGATACAATAGATGCCGATGTTGCTGGTAGTAATGACGGGTCTCGACCAACACTCGTACCTGAAAATAGCAATATGAAGCAAATAATTAAATTGACTAAAACAATATAAACAAAAATAACTAATAGGCTAATATAAAGTCAAAAAAACAATTACAAATCTGAGAATTTAGAACCCATCTAGTGTAAACGCATATTAAATGAATACTTTCTTTGTCTTAGAGAGAATAATTAGCATTAATAATTAACACAATAGTGTTTTGAACGATTTTATTGAAAGGTATTACTGAAGCATGAATGCATGAATTGGATGCAGCAATGTCGGCAATGCTTATTTTTTACTGAAACCATTGCCATTTATATCTACAAATCATTACTGTTTGACAATAGGCTATCCGAGGCTGAATATCGAACGTGGAATTTCTGATTTCAATCTTATAATTATCACAAATCCAGGAAGTGATATTTATTATCACTTTTTCACGGCGGATAATTCATACAAGGACGTAAGCGACTAAAGCGACGTGATCTGAATCAGAGGTTCCTGGTTCGGTATCAGCTTCGAGCAGCCTGACGTCAAGCAGTGATGACAACGGTTTTCACTTGGAAATATAGATATAAATATGCTTCCAAGTAAAAATAGCTCTCATTCGGCAATGCTGCATCGCCCTATTACAAAAATTGTAATAATAAAATTTATCACACAGAGATGAGACAACTTTTTGAGCCGCCTTCTGCAAAACCCACAACTTAATCAAATCAGCACTTAAGTTCTGGTTACTATTCAAGCGATTTAAAAAATAATATTAATAAAAATAAAGACTAATACCTGACGGGTCTGTCGCTCCAGATAGTATTCGGCCGATCCGTCCTAACGACGTCATACTTTGCATGCTGACCGTGTCATGTTCAATTATCCTATAAACCAAATAATCATTTTATTCAAAGCATTCTTTCATAATCGATTATGACCGACCGCTTAGCCCAATAGCCGTCACAGAAATGAAGCTACTTCCCGAAGCATAGGCCATTCTTCATCAAACTCTTTATGCATTTTTCATTATAAATTGACTTATCATAATGCTGATTGTCTTCATGCTTCCACGGTTGCATTTTTCATAAAATTCGTCTATTGGGTTAAGTAGCTCTAGTCAATTATTTACATAAATATAAATTACATATAAATACAAATTTTTACAACGCGCTCAATTTAAATTGCACAAATAATATTTCAACAAGAAACAATTCTTTTTTTAAATTTAATTTGTTTATTGGTATAATTCACATATAGGTACCCACCTACATACGTACTGTATGTCAGTCAGAAACAGATTTTTCTATAATATCTATGTTGTGACTAATTTTTATGTATTTTTTTCTCTTATGTGCTTATGCAAAACCATGAGAAAATATTGCTAATAATATGCAAGAGAACGTAAACATTTTGATTGAATGTTGGTATTTACGCCCGGCGGAGAATCTACTAGGAATAATAATAAACAAATGCACTTTCTTTTGCAACTTAACTCAACGTTAATAAATATATTATAGTTATGAAGGTAATTATTCCATTTTATTCCTGTAGCAAAATAATGACTCGAAAATTTAGTAATACGATCTAGTAATTACAATATATTTGTATGGCGTGCAAACGGTGGATTTATTAAAATTGATGCTTATGCTTTTGAACGAAGTTTAATAAAAGTGTTCATACCGTTGAATTTGGAAAAAGATCAGTTTGACACAGTGAGTACGAATAAATTTTATCTATAATAAATATGTATTGTTCTTGACTTTTGTTTTCTCGATCTTGTTCACCGATTTGATTTTTGGTCAACCGAAATAGAAATGTTCTTTGATCTTTTGGTTATACTACAGCACATTTGTGATTGTGACATATATAAAATACGAATTCAAATTTAACCCTTTTCACTCGGATGCTGCGCCGCTCCGACGGCAAAATACATATTAATTTCGGAATTCTCGAGTGGAAGAAGATAAAAGAAAAAAAATTTTGAATAAGGGGAAAAAAGAAAAACCATTTAACGTGAATTTCGATTCGATATTTCGATTTATTACGTATCATTAATAACATTTTAAATTTAGAACATCATAATAAGTTGAGATCATTAAGTTCTGTATGAAATTATTAAAAAATTATAGATAATTTATAGATATAGATATAGATATATATAGATAGATATAGTTATCCTTTTTAAAATAGATATTTGTTAGGGTTTGATAACGAAATATGTTTCATTTTATTTCCTTGAAAAACATATCATTAACGTTACACTGATCGGAGAAGAGCAGTCTCTCGATGCAAATTCTTTATCGATATTTTGATTTATTACGTATTTTAAAAAAATTATCAAAAATATGAATTATAGATGTAGGAACCGATTCTGCCGCATAACAGAGAAATGTTAAGACAAGGCCATGTTTTGAAGAACTTTCCATACAAAAATTGACAAAAGCCATGTGGCTGATGTGCAGTCAAGCGTATTTCTCAGGTGGTCAGATAGAAAACCTAACTTAGAGTCTTTCTGACTCAGCTCCATAACATACGAGTGACGTTGCAGCAGTATGTGTGAAACGCCTGAATGCACAGCATATACATAACATTTTGACAGTGTTCAATATGATTCAGTAGCCTAATGTATGGAAGTTGGAGTGTAACATGACCTGGCCTTGCCATAACATTTTTCTGTTATGCGACAGAATCGGTCCCATAGTTATCTTTTTTGTAACTTATTTGTTATGGGTTGTTAACGTAATGCGTCTGTTCTTTAGGATTTGACTCTACCTCGGTAAGTCTAATATACGTTCAAAAATCGCAAATAGATTATTCAAACGCTTCCCGAAAAAAAATTAAACCCAAGTTTCGTATGCAATGCCCATGGATTGCATGAAGTAGCCAAAAATAATTAAAAAATTTTTTTTACTCTTAATTTTAATTTATAATCTGTTATTTACTAACCGAAAGGGATGAGTAGTTCGCGGCGCCGGGAAAACGCCGTCGACCGAACTTCCTTGGGATTCGGGAGTCGAATTATTTGTTGGGCCATTATCGTCTTCATCGGCTTGCATGCACTGCCGAAGTTCGTGAAATTTTCGTCTTCCATTCTGAGAAAATAAACAGAAAATCGATTTATTCATGATGAATAATCTAAAAATTTCCTCAAAACAAAATCAACAACGCGACAATACCTTATGAATTTTGTTGATTTCTGGCGTTATATCATCGGAATTTGGTTTAAGATTGAGTTGCTCTTTTGTTTCTACATCATCATTACAGTCGTCCTGTGATCTTGGCGTTTTCGATTTCCTACTTTATATTTCAATTAAAAATTATTATTATTATAATTAATACGGTACGTATTTCGATAGATTAGATTAATCAATATCTGCACACTGCATGTTCAGAAACAAGATTACTAAATATAATACTTTTATCTAAGAAGCGCAAGCGATTGAGAGCTGATTTCTACTTATCAATATTGCCCTTCAATAAAAATATTATTTGAAGCGAATTATTGCTTGGGAAATATATGAAAAATTATTGTAGATGAATAAAATTAATAATTATTGTAGCTGAATAAGATTAATAAACTAGTGGTGCATGGCATTGTGCTCAAAGCAAAAGCTGTGCTGAAACTTCCCGTACCAAAAATTAAAGTTTCTAAAAAAGACTCAATTCTTTTTTCAGAACAGAAAAAAATGATTTTTTGTGATTTTTTAAAATTTTTGAAAAAAAATTACCTTTTTGAACATTTAATTTTTATACTTCCAAATATTTGAATATTTTGAACTTTTATTTAAAGCAATCGAAATGAAAATCAATCAAGCGCGTGGGCGCCGCTTCGCATTAAACGGGTAAACATTGATACGATACGGAACCCATAGAAATGCAAACAAAATAGGTTCTATTATTAAAATATCTATAAAATATGTGATAATTTGATATGCATATGTCTAATGATTATTTTTGAACGCCAAATTGCTAGACAGCTAGACTAACTTTTCAAAAATTTCATCAATTCTTCATTTTAATTATTCAAATTGATTGATCTGTGTTCTCGAAATCGTCGACGAAAAATTGTATACGCACATACATACACACACCCACACACACACATACATTCATTTTAAAGTATGCCAAAATGTTCAGAAATCTTTGAAACGTTAAGATATATAAATATTTTCATTTTCGATTATTTTGCGATTACTATAACTTTTACCTACTTTACCCTACGGGAAGTTAATTATTGAAGACGAATGAATGAATAATTATTGTGAGTGAAAAAAAAGTATTGTGGACGAAATGTAGTATTGTTTTACCCTACATAATACTAGAATTCATTCAATACAATTCCATTATACAATTATAATTTCAAATTTCATACATTTGTAGAATAATGAAATGTAGTATTTATTGTAGGTGAATAAAATGTAGTAATATTGTAGCCTGCTTAATATTACATTTCATTCACTAACAATTTCATATTTCATAACAAAATTGTAAGAGAGTGGAGTGTGTAGTATTATTGTAGCCTACAATAGTTTTACATTTCATTT